GACCTTTTGTGTCTCTTTGTAGTTGTTTTGTGTCTCTTTGTGGTCTTTTGAATGACTATCCATGAGGAAATGTTAGCAGTCACTTCAAACAGAAGCTGTGGTCTTTATGAACAATAATCAAGCAGATGAGTGTATTTAAACATAATTCTGCCACAGGCCAGTTGAGCATTTTAAGTACTGTATGACTGCTTATATAAAAAGTATTAAAAAACGTATCTTATTTCTAATTTATGGAAGTAAACAATAATACAGAAGAACGAGGAAGAGGAAGAAGAGACCGACAGAGACGCTGAGGGTAAGAACAGAGCTGTGTCTGAAGACGAGGGAGGTCTGGTTCAGAAAACGTTCAAAGTGTCGAACAATGCCGCAGTTGTGAGCGCCGGCCATGGGATCGAACCCCCGGGCGTTTCCCATCGGCCGTCGGGCCCGTCCTGTGGCTCGGCCCGGAGGGAGAGACAGCGACGAGAGAGGATGGACACAGAGCGTTCCTTTCTCAGCCACATCCTGCTGCAGCGACGCACCGGCCTGGCCTTCCCATGAGCCTTTACACTCCCGGGTCGTCTTTGTTCAGTGAGAGGCATGCTGGGAAACCCACCATCACACAGACTCTGACTGGTGTGTTTGGTAACGCCGCCGTCACAATGAGGGATTCACCAGGCCCACAGACACTGTCTGTTTTCCAGACTGTGAATGTCTTTATGTCTGGTTTCAGCAGACGCATGGACTCACTGCTGCTCCCATGATGCAACACAGAGTAAGCAGAGGAAGGCTGGATGTTAAAAAGCTAAATATAATAAAGAAACGAGAAATTTGACTCATCTTTACTGATTCTTTGACGAGGTTGTAAACAGCAGAGCTATAAAGATTTACTGAGTGAATGTGTGATCATTGATTTGTTCGGCTCTTTCTTTGTGTCTTCAGTGTTTAACAATGCTTCATTCTGCTGCCTTACAGACTGTTCCTGTGTTAAAACATTTTATCACACTCGTGTTTTAGTGCCACAATGAACCACTATGTCTGGGTTATTGTATTTCAGTACCTTTAACATTTGGCCACTGTCCATCCATCCACTTAGAGGTCCTTTTGTTCTCTAAAACTCGAGTTGTGAGGTGATATATAGTTGTTCAGTCTTTATCGCAGCAGATGAAAAGGTTGGTTTGTGTGTGACTGACGCTGGAGGAAGTAGGTCTCTGTTGGAGAACGCCGCGCTCTCTCAGCCTCGGAGGTCTTGTGGTTCATCCGAATTCCTCCTGGAGAATAATCTAATTGAGAGACTCCTGCTGCCATCAGCGTCTGGACGGCAGAGAGGCCACACACAGCAGCCTGTGGACAGCCAGCAGCTAACAAAGGGCACGTTCATGTCTCTGCTTTAGGAAATGACAAAAGATACAGAGCTCCACAGTTTCTAGACTGTTGTTGGACATTTTTAGAACTAAAAGCAATGAATCAACATCTATGTGACGATCTAAACTTTGGGTTTGTCCACATGTTGTATTTTTGCATTGGAAAATAAGCTTATTTTCCCAGATGCCAAGGTTGGAAAAGCTCAGTCTCGGCTCAAGGGCTAAGAATATCAAAGCCACTTCCTGCCTCGTCGCTGTCGAGTCATTTCAGACATACAGAGTTTTGTGTAACAGGTCTGTAAAGGATTTATACTGTCTATCAATCACTGCTTTTAAACCTTCTCTAACAAAAATGCTATTCTGATCAAATGTTTGACAGCTTCTGTGCTGATGTATGAGGCTCCAGTCTGGTTTGTACCACTGAACAAACAGAGCAGAAGTAGTAGTAGTAAAATAATTTATAACACTGATTCCAGCCTTTTAAATGTGAGTACAGCTGTTTTATATTGTTTACTGAATATCAGTCTAATTACAGAGAGGACAGGTTAAATTAAACTCTAAACGGTATCAAAATCAGGATGAGGAGAGAAAAACATAATAATTTCAGTAAATTATTTTATATTCTTCTTGGTCTGTGAAACTGTTTGACTCGGTTTGATTTAGGTTAAGAAGACGGCTGTGGGATCAGTAGTAAAAGTATTTCATCTTAAAATGTTTTGTTGCAAAACTTCATTTTATGGACTTGCATGATGTCTTTTATTGTTTGCACTTTTATCTCTCTCTCTCTCTCTCTCCACTTTCAATCATTTCCTGACTTTGATGTCTGCTTTTCTTTGACTGTTTGAGTGCTTTATAAACATTTTAAAAAGCCGCTTAAGCAAATAAGGTTTATTATCACAATTAGAGGGGAGCAGAGACACAGAGAGGAATAATGGACGGAGAGTTATCGTTATTACTGTCATTATCAGACTGCAACCGAAGCCAGTCTGCTATGGATTTTAAATCCTGACAAACACATTCACACTTACATTCACACCTGTGAGTACTGCGACTCGCGAGGTCTCACCCAAACATGTATCAGAAGGAATTACACATTATGAAAGCAAAATGATCTCAGAATGATTTCACGAGCAAGACGCAGAGCACTTCCTGCAGACGAAGGCTAATGACAGAGCTGGAGCTATAAAGGACGATAAAAAGATAAAAAGATGAATAAATAAAGGGACAACTGGTTTCAGTAAAGCAGCACATATTGCTCCCTGGATTCTTCTAAAGGTGGACAAACAAACTTGTTATTACATAATGAAAAAGTAAAACCTCAAAAGCAACATTAATGGGGACTTTAAAATACTTAAAAACCCTTAAATGTGGATAATCACATGCACCACAATACACTTCAAATGAAGACTGATGCACTAAAAATCAACCTTTGAAGCAGTGTGTG